CCCGATCCGAGGTATGTATATGAGGATGACTGTGATGACTCGGGTGTTGGATGTCATTCGAGAGGCCCAGGTCGAGGCTGTGAGACTGGAGAACCATAAGAAAGAGCGGGTGATTGGGTAAGTATCTGAGTTTGTGACTGATAGCCGAGGGCTTATGATATTTCAGGGTCGTATTTGGGTGCCGTTTATTGGTGGGTCACGTAGCATCTTGAGGGAGGAGGCGCATCGATCAAGGTTCTCGATCCATCCCGTGGCCACCATGATGTATTTGGATCTGAAGAGAAATTATTGGTGGCCATACATGAAGAGGGATGTAGCATGGGTTGTAGAGAGGTGCTTAACCTGTCATCAGGTTAAGGCCTAGCACCAGCGTCCACATGGTAAGTTGCAGCCACTCGAGGTTCCCCAGTGGAAGTGGGAACAGATCTCTATGAATTTCATCACCAAGTTACCCAGAACCCCAAGGGGTGCCAATGCGATTTGGGTGATAGTGGATCGACTGACGAAGAGTACCCACTTTCTTTCTATGAGTGAGAGCTCTTATGCGAGAGCTCTTCTGCCTTGACTTCACTAAGTCCCTTCTACTACTACTGCTTCATGTGCTACTCTCATCCTAGGCATTGGCTGGGGTAATCACCATCCCACTATCTGACATCAACTTCATAAGAAGTCCCTGCTATCTCCCCCTAACTAGCTTGTGAATACCATTAAATATCACTAAGACTAGATGATTATTCGAATGAGAGATCCTACCCTAAAACGGTTGGACTCAAACAAGAGCTACGAAATAGAGGTAGACCTAACATTCTGAAATTATTTAGTCCGTGCAATATGTAACTTAACATATTCGTTTAATAGTTAGTAAAAGATAACTTAGGTGTTGTTTGTTTTTTGGAAAAAAAAACCTCTTCAAACCTCTTATTGCTGTGCGGCGCAGCACACGCACAACACTTTTCATCTCGTAGTTGTTTGTTTTTTAGAAGTCTTCTGAGTCAAAAACCTCTGCCCGTGCTCTGTTTGGCGCAAAATTGTACTGCCTCTAACAACCTCTTCTAACCCCTTCTTATTCTTTTTTTATTGTTGAAATTTTGATTATATGTTGTTCAAATTTTGTTTCACATTTATTCTTCATTTTTTTTCATTTAGTCTTGTTGAATTTATTTTTCATTTTTTTTTATATTCAATAATGATAATTTTTGGATGAAATATCATTATTTTTTTACTAAAATATCTTTATTTTTTTGTTGAAATGTCGTTATTTTTTTTTTACTGAAATATCATTAATTTTTACCGAAATGCAATACATTATTAAATTTTACGTATTAAAAAGCTATTTTCAGTTTAAAAAGTTAGTTTATTTTAATTTTTTAATATCTGCAGCAGTATACAGATGTTAAAAAAAACAAACACGCTTCTTATTACAATCTGCAGCCGTTTGGTCCACCTCTTCTACTGCAGAGGGTTGCAGAGGTGGTCCGCAGACTTCATGAATTTTTGCTTCAGAAAATCAAACAGCACCTAAGACTCCTAAAAGCGCAAAGTAAGCAACATTCGAGCATTGAGTAAACATAATCAAATATATCCTAATCAGGCCATCATATCACTGATTAGTCTGTACTAGCATGCAGTTCATAGAGTTGATACACATATACCAGGCACATAAGGCATCCTTTCTAGACCATTAGCCCTAATCTAGCATGTAGTTCTCATAAAGATATCATAACATAAACTTCTATGGGTAATTTGGGAGTACTTGAGCTCGGCTAATTGCATGCACTACACCCTTTTTATCTTTTTCAAAGTTCTTTTCTCTTTTCAAAATTCTTTTTATAAAATGATTTTATTTTGAAAATTTTCATACCAAGTCCTTAGTTTGAGTTCAGACACACTCGAGAGTGTGCCCGAATCCCTCAAACCAAGGCTCTGATACCAACTTGAAACATCCCAAAAACACAGTCTAAAATTTTCGTTTTAAAAATCAGTTAGGAAAATCATAATTCATCAAACACCACAATAAAGATCAAAAGTTACGTATCTTAAATAATCATAACGAATTACTGTAACAAAATCATGTATCGAAATATCAGAGTCTAAATATCCCAGGCTGAACAAATGGTGTGTGCATTGCAATCATCCCAAGCTCTTCACTTTGTTACATGAAGTATCTAAAACCAAAAATGAAAACTATAAGCACGAAGCTTAGTGAGTCTCCCCAAACTACCACATACCACACATAATCACATATCACATACATTAGGCCCCACCCTGCTACAGCAAGCACTGCCCGACATAGGCTTGTCCGGCATCAGGCTCCATGCGACATCAGACCGCATTTGGCATCGGGACCCACCCGATATCGAGCAAAGCTAAGCATACACATGAGCATAACTACCTACACATACCATAAGCATAACTACTTAGCTATCACATATACACATTCATTGGGCCCCGCCCGAAATCGGACCGAAATCTGGAAACATGAAAACATTCCTTAGGAACCGCCCCGGTATCAGACCATAATCTGGAAACATACAAATACATAAACATGCAAGAATCACAAAGACATAAAGCATACTAACATTCTTCAGGTACCGTCCTAACATCGGATCGAAATCCGGAAAAACATATAAATCTACACCGGGCCTGCCCAACATCGGACCTTAATACAGAACATACTATCATACATAAATGGGCCGGCCTTGGTGCCTTAGACCCGTTCCTACTGGGGGAAAACTCACCTCGTAAGCTAGGTGAGAAGTCTCTCGTAAGGAATCTTTGATGGCTGCTCTAACGACTCCCCAGCTATCATTATCACAATAACACTTAGTTAAAACCTGATAATCCTTCATAAGGTAAAATGACCATTTTGCACTTGGTCAAAGTCAACATTTTGGTCAAAGTCAATGTCCTGGGTTAACCCAACTTGCCGAGTTCTATGAATCAAAAACCTTAAAATCGCGATCCAACTCTTCGAGTCATCCCCATGACTCACCGAGTTCCCTGGCTACTCGTAGTCGTGATTTGGCAAATCAACTTGTTGAGTCCCTTCACAGACTCGTCGAGTGCTACCTAAAACTGAACCAGGACAACACGGCTCAACTCATCGAGTTCCTCTATGGACTCAATGAGTTCCTCTGTCTGTTTGGGTCGTCTTAACAGATTAAGCCTCTACTCTCTGTTTCCAAAGTCCATACTTCATCTACACACTGGAAATGCCCTTTTAAGGATAAAGTTTCCAACTTTACCCGCTAATAATCCTTCTTAGTGAGTTTAGATAAAACCCTAGTTCCTTAGGACATAGATCTTTGTCCAAAAGCCTTATTACTCCAACCCAAAGCATAAAAGCCGAGATCTAGGTCCTACACACCAAATGAACACGTAACATCTCAGACTTTACTTCCATACATGGCCTTTTGGGGGTTAAAAAGGCCATAATAACGTCTTTAAGCTTGCATAGGGCTTCCATGGTCATAAAGTTTGCATGTTTATGCCATGAAACCCCTTCTAGATCCTAGATTTGAAAGGTAAGCCACTTGGGACGTCCATGTCCCAAAGATCAAGATTCTTGAACCAAAGCCCTCATAAAATGGAACTAAGGAGATCTAATGAACTATAGCCAAGTTAGAGACTTGATTACCAGAAAATGATGAGAATGGAAGGAAGTCTTTGGATCTATTATCTTCTCCTTGAACCTTCTAGCTCCTTCTTCTTCTTCAAGCTTCAAGAACATAGAAAGATTACTCAAGAATGGCTCACACACTCACAAAATGCTTTAGGGTTTCATGGATTAGGGTTTAGGACTTGGAGGCTGGAAATGACAACATAAGGTGGGGATTAAGATGCTTATATAGAGTGCAAAAACCCGAAATTAGGGTTTCACTCTCGCAGACCTACTCGCTGAGTTGAGGGATCTCAACTTGTTGAGTAGATTTCTTAAAGCCCCTTGTCCAATCTCTTTTCTACTCGACGAGTCTGAGGCTCCCAACTCGTTGAGTAGCTCTACAAAATGAATAAATTATAAATAAATGTGTACCAGAAATCAGAAGTTGCAACAAAAGTTAAGACTTGACTTTGATATACTTATTGAAGAATGGGACACAAGCAAGTAAAATATGTATCAAGTTAAAAATTATTAGAATATAAATTGGTGTGTGTATTATCTTCATAAGGGTTCAATCATTAACGAAACACTAATATTCTAATATTTAGATTGAGCAATATACTAATGTGAAATTCAATCGATACGAAATTTCATTTATGCATATTTTTTGACGGATTAGCCAAGGTCCAACATTTTCGCTAATCTATCACCAATCGTAACAAATGTTTTAAAATTCGGGTAGATCATTTATCATTCTTGATGGTCTTATTAGTCTCCTCAAATCATACAATTTAAAGTAAGTGATCACCATCTTCTTTATACTAATCTCAATGCATGGATACTCAATTGCTTTAATAGTTTAATAAATAATGTATACTACTTTAACACACTTAAATTTAGGTTTTAATTGTATAACTTTAATTTCATCCAATTCGGAGACTGCGTCAAATGCGATAAGAGTTTTATTTTTTTGAAAATAGGAATCCAACAAAAATTTACCATTTTTCTTAATCTATGACCTTTGCTATGAAGCACTAATCACAACAATCACATTTCCTTCTGCGTTTCTTTTCCTTTTCCCTTTTCCTTTCTATTGCAGTAATATTTAAGTTTCTTAGCATCTGCGGATATACAAGACTTCTTTTCCTTTATCTTCTCTAAAGTGAAACAATGTCCATGAAAGCAGATTAAAGGTGCCTGTGGATACCTAAGACCAAGCATTAATACAGAGTGCTTTCTGCTCTCTCAACAAACTTTACAATGTTTAATTTTTAAAGCATTCAAGCTTAGTGAATTTTGGACTAGCGCATAGCATTGTACACACACACACACACTGAGATCATTAGCCTTTCGCTCATATGTTCATTCTACATAGTCGTTGTAATTAATGGCTGATAACATGACATCTAGAAATTACAGAAGGATCAATGTTGACTTGTATAAAGCACTTTCGGAAGGAGATGACGCCAAGGTATGTGATGCATGCAAAGACTTGCCAGATGGTCCTTTGCACAAGCTAACCATACATCGCGACACTATTCTCCACATCGCTAGTTACTACAAGCGTAACAAGCTCGTTCTTCAGCTACTCAGTCTGCTACCTGAAGACGAACCCAACAAACTTACATTAAAAAATGAAGCTGGAAACACCATTCTTCATGCCACAGCCACCAATGATAAGACTGTCGAGGCTGCTGCTGAGATCATTCACCGAGCTCCTTCATTGCTCACCATGACTGATAGGCTTGGAGAGACACCTTTTTTCCGTGCAGCCCGTTATGGCAGGATCAAGAGTTTCTATTTTCTTAAAGGTGAAGTGAGTAGGAAATTTCCAGAAGAGGCAGACTTAACGAGTTTTCTTCGAAGAAATGATAAAGCAAATATACTTCACGTTGCAATCCATAGCGAGAACTTTGCTAAGTGTGTTTACAGTGACATATATATATATATATATATATATATATATATATATACATATATATATATATATATATATATGGTCTTTTTTTTCAAAAATTTCTTGCAACCCGAATTTCTAATATATGAATGTGCGTGCACAGATTTGGCTCATGATGTTGCTGAAGCTTATCCATTGTTGATCGGTTAACAGGATGGAGATGGGATGACTGGCCTTCAACTTCTTGCCTGCAAGCCATCTGCTTTCAACCATCGATTCGAAGAGAATTTCTTCAAGCGGTTCATATCTAAATGTATAATACTAAGGCCCTATTTGTTACACAAAACCTTTTATTGTGTTTGTATATGTATTGGACTAGAGTGGACTAAAAAGGGACAAAAATTGCATTTTTATTCCCACACAAAAAAGTGGAACAAGTTCAGATAATTAGGACTCCCTGATTCACTCCCATATCTTGTTCATAGAAAGATGTGAATGCTAAAGAAATAACAACACTCTTTTTAACTTGTTGACTTTTACTTGGATCTCAGTTACTGATTTGAGTGCTAAAGAAAGAATGAGTAGAGTGCCTATCCTGAAAGAAGTTCAGAAACAAAATCGAAAAACGAAATCAGCAAATAAACTTGCAACCCTTTTAATTGAAAAACATGCCTCATGGGAAGCAACATCACCCATGTCAAACCAGAACAGAATTAAACCCCACAAATATGGAGGAGGGATATCGTCTTCAACCATAACTCCTATAGATATTGTCATCAATGCTCCTACTCATGCCTCTCCATTGTTTTTAGCTACAAAATCGAGTTGTACAGAGATTGTAAAGGAAATAATCCAAGTGTACCCTCAGGCTGTAGAGCATATTGATGAGGATGGACGTGACATTTTGCATGTAGCCATTAAATATCGAAGAATGGAGATCTATAAAGTTGTGATCAATATGAAGTTTCCCTTGACGAGGCTAAGGGGGAAGATTGACAAACAAGGCAACTCGATACTTCACATGGTAGGCATGAAAGTTAGCGATCAGAAAACTGAGGGGGACATCAGAAGCCCTACTGTGGTACTACGAGATGATTTGATTTTATTCGAGGTAATGACATTTTATCCTTTGTGCTTCATTTTTTACACACACCAAAACTTTCTAACCTATAAACCTCCGGTAATAGCCTGCTAACCCAAGGAAACTCCGAATCTTAGATGGAGACTTTGTAACCTCCCATGTCATCATGGCCTCCACTTTATCTGCGTCGACTAAAATATCATTCTAGTTGGCAAGGTGCCTCGTAAACTGCACCTCGCACAACCAGAACTCGCACTTGGAGAACTTGGCGTATAAGCTCTCCCTCCTCAGGGTATCCAACACCTTTCGCAAGTACTCCTCATGCTACTTTTGTGTCTTAGATTAAACCAAGATGTCATCGATAAACACTATCACAGAGCGATCCAACATAAGTCTACACTCCCAATTCATGAGGTCCATAAACGCGGCGGGGCATTGGTGAGACCAAAGGGCATCACCACGAACTCGTAATGGCCATAGCGACTCCAGAAAGTTGTCTTCTATAAATCCTCATCTCTGACCCTCATCAGATGTTATCCTAAATGCAAATCTATCATGGAAAACTAAGATGCCTCCTGTAGCTGGTCGAAGAGAGCATCAATCCTCGGGAGTGGGTAACAGTTCTTCACCGGTACCTTGTTTAGCTCCAAGTAGTCTATACACACCCGATGCGACCCGCAATTTTTCTTCACAAATAGGATTGGGGCTCTCCAATGCGAACTGCTTGGCCTAATGAATCTCTTGTCTAATAGCTCTTGCAGCTGTGTAGACAACTCTTGCATCTTAGGAGGAGCCAACCGATATGGTGCCTTGGCTATCGGAGCCGCACCAGGGACTAGTTCGATCCTGAACTCCACCTGCCAATCCCGAGGTATATCAGGCAGCTCCTCTAGAAATATGTTTGGGTACTCTCACACCACTGGTAAATTACTCACAGTCGCCTTACCTGCCTCCCGGGTATCCATAACATAGGCGACATACCCTTTGCAACCATGTTGAAGGTGGCGCATACCCCTCGCTGCAAAGCACATAGCTGGTACACACTGTGTCCTCTCGCCCTGAATCACTAGCTCTCCCCCACTTGGGCTCCAAATATGTACCAACTGTTGTGCACAGTCAATCACTGCTCCATTAGGGTTCAGCCAATTCATGCCAATGATAACCTTGTTCCCATACAACGGAAGGGGAACCAAATCCATGAGGTAACACTCGTTGTACAACCTCAACACGCAATCCCTGAAAACCTATGATGCCCGGACAGATCGACCGTCAAAAATCTAAACCTCTAAAGGGAAATCCAACATACCCAAAGACTCAGAAAACCTCTTGCTAAGAGCAAGAGAGACAAATGATCCAGTAGCCCCCAAGTCAAATAACACCTGTACTGGAGTGTCATTCACATAGAACGATCCTAAACAAAACACATAAACATAGCACATAAATATCATAAACGACATATAATAAGAGTTAGGGAGAAGAAAACATACCTATCACCACATCCGGTGCAGCACGCGCCTCCTTGTCGGTCAGCTGGAAGGCTCGACTCCTCACCATAGGATCTGTCTTGCCCAGTTGGCCATATGTGATACGCATGGTCGCTGGAGTTGGCGCTGCCTTTGGCACTCCTGATTTCAACCTTGGGTATTTGTCCTTTGTATAGCCCTTCTGATTGCAATGGAAGCAAATCAGGTCTAATGTCTGAAGGGTGGGGGTAGGGGCAGTACAATCCCTACCAAAGTGCCCACGTTGTGCACTTACAGCAGCCCGATGATCCTAATCTACAAACTCCCTCATGAGTCTATTTGCATTTCCCACAGTGGCTCCGGCCCTGCTGGCCCTTCGACCTAGTGTTGGATCCCTTGTGTTTCTTCCCCAAAACCCCAACAACCTGCCTAGCCTCCACCTTCTTATTCCGGATGTGCTTAATATCAATATCCATCTCTCCCACCTTGGCTATAATGTTTCCAAGGCTGGGCATGTTGAGTAGCTTACATGTTTCCTGATGTCAGCTCTCAATATATCATAGTACTGAGTCTTCCTAATCTCCTCATCCCTCGCATACCGAGGTACCAGTAAAGCCATCTCCCTAAACTTGGCGGTAATCTCTTCCACTGACTCAGTCATCTGTCTCATGTCTAGAAACTACCTAGCAAACTATTGAAACTCCACAGCTCACACAAACTCATTCTTAAACCTGGTCATAAAGTCCGACTAGGTCATAGCCTCAATGGTTGGGGCTCCCAAAGAATCACTAACTGCCTCCCACCAATCTCGAGCTTAGTATCTCAAACAACCTGCAGCATACCGGACCTTCGACCCCTTAGGGCAGAAGCTCGTCAACCATGCAGACTCAATGTCTGCAATCCACCTCATGGCATTAATGGGCTCCTTCACCCTGTGGAAGTATGGCACACCACATCCCCTAAAATCCTTGGAGGAGAGTGTGTGTGTCCCTGACTGGCCAGATTCCATGTCACTCCTGAACGCCCTGATCGAGATGCTCCTCCATCAACTTGCTGATCCCATCCTTGATCGGCTTGAAAATCACTGGGGTTGCATCAAAGATGCCTCTTGTAATCTCAGACATGATGGAATCTCATAGTCCATTATCTACCGGCTCGGAACCTGCACCCAAACCTGAACCTGATCCTGACCCAGACCCTGAACCTCTTGCTTTGTGACGTGTCACCACCATTCTGAAACAAAACACATAATCATCAAGATCATACATAACCTCGAGAGGTTTCACACACTCTACAAGTTCCCTCGTTGTATCTCAGCCCTCCTTGACTCGAGTACGGATCCTATGCTTTCAGTAGTAGGGGCCCATACTACCTTCCACATATATCCGTACTCTCCTCAAGGATTACCTTGAGTTCACCAAGTCCCTTTTACTACTACTTCTTGTTGTACTAATCTCATCCTAGGCTTACCCTAGGGTGGTAACTCTCCAACCTACTATCCGCCATCAGTTGCATAAGAAATCCTTGCTACCTTTACCTAACTAGCTTCGGAATACCATTACACATTACTAAGACCAGATAATTCTTCGAATGAGAGGTCCTACCCTAGAACGGTTGGACTCAAACAAGAGATGCAAAATAGGGCTAGACCTAACCTTCATAAATTACTTAGTCCTTGAAATATGTAACTAAACATATTCGTTTACTAGTTAGTTAAAGATAACTAGAACTCCTAAAAGCACAAAGCAAGCACCATTCGAGCATTAAGTAATAAAACCAAGCATATCCTATTCAGTCCATCATATCAGTGACTAATTAGTTTTAGCATGAACTTCAAATAAGCACATATAGCAGACACATAAGACATCTTCCTAGATCATTAGCCCTAATCTAGTATGCAATTATCATACATATAATAAGGATATAAGGCATCCTTCCTAGATCCTCAGCCCTAATCTAGCATCTAGTTCTCATAATCATATCATATATCATAACAAACATGTATGGGTATCTTGGGGAAAACTTACTTGAGCTCGGCCGGTTGCATGCATCACATACCTTGTTCTTTCTCAAAACTCTTTATTTGAAATTTTTATAGAACTGTTTTCTTGTAAAAACCTTTCAGATCCTCGATTTGAGTCTAGACACCCCGAAGGTATGTCCGAATCCCTCAAACCAAGGCTCTAATACCCACTTGTAACATCCCAAAAATACGAACAAAAATTTTCATTTTTGATATAGCAATTTATAAAACAATTTATTGAAAACGTCCTCAAGTTATTTCATTTCATAAAAAGCCTTAAAGCATAAGTGTCAAAATCATTTCATAACATAGTAACAATGTCATAGTACAAATCCCAAGAATCTCATATGAAAAAATCATGCGTGTGATGTGTTGCTACCGTACTGGCTCCTTTCCCTTCTAAGAAGAAGGACCTTAAACAAATACTAAAAAGCGTAAGCACAAAGTTTAGTGAGTTCCCCCATTATACCACATACCATACAACATACATATTGTCTAACATATTTGGGTACTAGACTACCCTTTCGGTCTTTATTCAACCGGTAACTTTCTAGCATATTAGGGTCCTGGGCTACCCCTTCGGTCCTATCGACTGGTACCTAGCCTAGCATATCAGGGTGCTAGCCTACCCTTTCGGTCCTTTCGACCGGTACTGGGGACTATTTTACCCCTTACTCTACCACATAGCATCCTAGTGCATAAACATATAATCATATACTGCCTAGCTTATCCGTATGCTAGCATACCCCTTCGGCCCTATCGACCGGTATTGGGGTCTATCCTACGCCTCCTACCACTATCACATAAAATCATAGCATACTAGCATATAAAGCATAATATATAGTGACATAATAGATAATTATCACAAAGACAATCATCTTTACTATGACTCTTACTAGTGGGCCGACATTGGTGCCTTAGACCCACTTTTAGTGGAAGGTAACTCACCTTCATTTCGTGAAGTAGTTTAACTGTCCATGGCTCTGGGATCAACTAACCTCAAACTCCTACACATAACATCTCTTTTAATTACTCTTTCATATCCATAACCCCTTTAAGGGTCAACTCTGGTTAATGGTCAAGTCAAAGGTCAACACTTTGGTCAAAGTCAACCTTTGGGTCTAGGTCAACATTCTGGTTGACTCAAACCGCCCAGTTGGTCCATCAACTCGTCGAGTTCCAGGATCCATAAACCCTAAGAATCTAGATCCTACTCGTCAAGTTCTTTCATGAGCTCATCGAGTTCCCCTTCATGCAATTTGGGGAATTTCACTCACAACTCGTCGAGTTCATCTCTAAACTCATCCAATTCCTCTTCATATCAGTTGGGACATTTTCCTCTTAACACGCCGAGTTTATCCATGAACTTGTCAAGTTCCTCTTCATATCAGTTGGGAAATTTTGCTCCTAACTCGCCGAGTTCATCCTTGAACTCGTCGAGTTCTTTGATCTTCAAGTCCATAAACATGTCCAACTCACAAAGTCATCTTCTAGACTCAACGAGTTTGCTTAGTAACATAAAATGCTGGGGGGCCACGATCAAACTCGCCGAGGTATATGAACGACTCGTCGAGTCCCACAAAGTCTAAATCTATTCAGTCGTTTCCAGTCAGGCTTAATGCATCCAA